GTTTGACATAGTCACTAAAAACATGACAGGGACTATATCATTGACAATGACTTGTTTTTTATGTTCACAGATCAACAAACTGCATTTATGTAAGCCATTGATACGTGCCATTGATAGTTCAAATCTTAAAGATCAGTTTCCAATTTCCCAGAGAGTCACCTTCCGTTATTTTGTTGGCAGGAAGGCTATGTTTGATAGCGACTTCAAAAGTGGTAAGTTTGGTGTTATTTCTGATCAACCACATTGAGAGATAGCTCTTGTAGATAACAGAAAACTACACAGGTGCGTTGTAGTAGGAAACATAATTAGTTAGCTTTGTTGATTTTGTTTCTCCTTTGTAAACAAGATTTGTATAATCATTAAAACAGTTGAATTACAATCTTTGGAATTACTGAAACTTTGTGATTAGATTGCTCATTACTGAAGTAAGTATTTGGGTTATAGACCAAATTATGGTAAAAAAATAAACACAACTACGGGTAGTTCAATTTTGAATATTCTCAAAATGTTATTGAAAGTCAAAGTAATGTGTAATGCGAACTACATTTTTGCAAATTTACAAAGATGGTCATAAATATAATACATGTAGTGGATTCTGTCGTAAATTCGCCCATCCGAAAAATCCCCCTGGGTGGTTTCATGACTGGTGAGCCCTTATTTGGGGTTCAAATTTTCAAAAAAATGTCATCAAATATTTTTAGGGGGCTTATATTTTCATTGAAAAATCTATCTACGTCGATTTTCAACACCGGCATCAATAAACATCGATACTCTTGAATAGGCATCAATGACTATGGTGAAACTTTTAGGCATCAGAAAAGATTAAAATAACACCTTAAAAAACTGTCGAAAAATTGCCCTGGTTTCTTGGTTCCATTTTATTTTTTTTTAAAACCCAAACTGCTGTTTAATGGCTCTGGGCGAATTTACGGCAGAATCTGGTATTTGGTAAATTCAATAGTCTGCTATATGAGAATTCCTGTGCATTCAGCCCATCCACATTTATTAAACTGTAATTGATCAACTTGAAGCAAACATTGCTGATAAAAAAAAAAAAAAAAAACTTTTAGTTTCCATATCTAAGTTTTCAGAAGATGTATATCTTGTCACAAATACAGGGATGGTGCCTTTAATTGAAATAACAAAAAAATTTGTAAAAAGAGCATGTTAGAGTCATTAACTTCATCTGAGTGTACATGTTACAAATTAGAAATACTTCCTATTTGTGTCTGTGTGATCTACAGCCGAAGAGTACCTGTCCTTTGCTTTCATCCACTGCCATAGAACAAGCAAGAAAAATAAACGATTGATTCTGATCTACCTACTGCCTATAAAAATGCTTCTGGTAAGTTTAAAATTTGTCTGTTTATATTTATTTCCATGGTGACTGGAATGTAAATAATAGAATAAGAAGAATATAAGCATTGTTGTAGGGGGGGTTAAAATATTGGTGGACTACTGTAGAAAGAATTTTTTGAGGTTTATTTTTTATTTTTTTGACAGCAAAAATAAAAATTCAGTGACAATAACGGATGGAGAGTGAGAGAGCCACACATTTTTTTGGAAAATAGAATACAAATTTTTACAGGGAAAACAAGAAAAGAAAACTTTTGTGACTTGTTGGAGAAAGGGTTAACCTTTTTACCATCACTTCCCTCTTTTCATCACAATTTGTCCCGTTTATAGTCTGCACTTTCTTTGAGAAGACTGGGACAAAAAAAGCCATATTTTTTGAGTAAAAACTGAAAATTGATTCAAATTTCGTCTGTTGGCTTCAATATTAGGGTTCATATGCAGAAATATTGAAGAATATTGAAAAAAAAAGGGCAAAAAAATTTGGGTGAGAAAGTCTGGTTGTGGAAAGGTTATTGATCCATTCCCAAGTTAGGAATTTGTGTCTTAACACTATTATCCCGGTACTCTTGCCGCAATCCATGTTTTTTTGAAAGTAAGATATATTTCTGTGAATAAGTCAGTATCCAGTCTTTGTTTTGTCATTATATCTACAGGGTCATATGCCAAGTGCTAGACTACTTCAGAAATATGACTTGTTGCAGTTTGCCGATGTTGCCAAAGCTGTTAAGATTGGCAATCTACTGTTGTTTAATGAAGCATTGCAAAGGCATGAAGCATTCTTCATAAAGTGTGGTGTCTATTTGATTTTAGAGAAACTCAAGATTATAACTTACAGGAATCTCTTTAAAAAAGTGTAAGTACATTTTTTTAAAAATTTTATCTACCAATATTAATTTAACCAGCTCAGTTACATATTTGGAATTCACACCAAGGAGTTCTTATGCCGTCATAATTCTGAAGTTTCCCAAAGCCATGTTTACAAATACGTGTTGACAAATGGTGTCTTTATGAGATGCATATTTGCGTAATGTAGGGCCGTATATAAGGTGGAAAATAAAAATAAAATCATGGAATAATGTCTGGAGCCGATTTATTATCAAATTCAAACATGCACACGTACTTGCAATTTACACTTTAACTCTTTGATTGATTGTTCAAGTTTTCACTGAATTCAATCTCAATTTTAACAGATGAAATGTGACATTGGTTCTAGTGAGTAAAATAATATTCCTATTTACTGAAAACAAGTAAACTGACATGTTTGTATTTGCCACCATGACAAAATCATTCGTTTTGCTTGCACCTCATTTTCTGGCAGACGACTCGCTTCAAGATGTACATCCACAGAAGTGATCTATTGTATTTTGCGATGTTGGCACTGACACTGCAATTTCCAGGAATTATGTATTTATGCAACTGCTGCATTCAAGTCTGAGTGGGGGCATCCCTCTTCCATTAAAAGCTTTGTTATTCACATAGCCCTCATTGTAAAGGTATGCCCTCGTCCAGACACCAGAAATCCTATTTTGTCCCTGCTTGTCACCTGTATACAGTA